AATCCAAGAAAGGAGCATTGGCAAGCTGTGAAGTGGATTCTACGGTATATTCATAATACTGTAAATGTTGGGTTAGTTTTTGAGGAGGAAGGCAATCAGTCTGTAATTGGATATTGTGACTCGGATTTTGCGGGTGATCTGGACAAACGAAGATCAACTACTGGTTATGTGTTTTCTTTTGTAAAGGCACCAATTAGTTGGAAATCTACTTTGCAGTCAACAGTTGCTTTGTCTACAACAGAGGCAGAGTACATGGCTATTACAGAGGTTGTGAAAGAGGCAATTTGGCTTCAGGGGTTGCTAAAAGAGCTTGGTGTTGAACAAAAAAGTATCATAACTTTCTGTGATAGTCAAAGTGCTATTCAATTAGCGAAGAACCAAGTTTATCATGCAAGGACGAAACACATTGATGTTCGGTATCATTTTGTACGAGAAATCATAGAAGAAGGTGGAGTCACGGTGAAGAAAATTCATACTACAGAGAATCTTGCTGATATGCGACAAAGGTGGTGACTGCGGTCAATTTTCAACATTGTTTGGATTTGATCAACATTGTTGAACACTGAAGATTGAAGATGAAGACACAACCAAAATTTGTTATTGAGAGAAAATTGAAGATGTGGAATTCTGCCAAGGTGGAGATTTGTTGAATTTGGCAAATCCCACATCGGTGATTTAGCCATTTGGTAGGGAATTTTTCCCTATAAAAGGAGGCCTAATGTTTAGTATTTAAACACACATCTCATTTGCCTTCTTATCTTCTTAATGCATTTGTATCTTCTCTCTTTAGTATTATTTCACTTGTATTTTTGGAGTGGAATAAAATATTGGTTGTGTCCGAGGAAGTAGGCAAAATTGGCCGAACCTCGTAAATTCTGGTGTTCCTTTTATTGTTGCTTTATTGTATTATTTATTATTTGGTGGCTGTCATAATTTTTGGTATAGTAGTTGTGACTCATTCACACTATATACATTTGGCTTCCGCAACATATACCGGGTGTGTTGTTGTTGTTGTTGTTGTCATATGTTATAGTTTCTTAGATGATATTGTTTTGAATCTTCTTTTACTTGATTTGATTCTTCATTTACTGCTAGTGTAGGAAGAAATCGTTGTTGGTAGCTTAGGAGAAATTATTGTTGGTAGCTAAGAAAAAAGTCGTTGCTGGTAAGTAGTCTTTAATTTAAATTTTGGATAATTGAACTTATGGTCTTACAAATTTTTATTCTATTGTGTATATTGTCTTATAAAGTTTTATTGTGCTGTGCATCATTTTAATATAAATGAATTAAGGCCTAGATCTTATAGCATTGACACGTTTTCATAACAGTAGGAAATGACGAAAAACTCATATTTTGGTGGTTGTACTGCTATTTGTCTAGTTTTTCAATCTCAAATCAAACACTAAATGAAATTTCTGTAATCATTAACATTAATACCTCTCGTAATCTTTAGTGTTTTACCAAATTTTCTCAATTTAATGATATACAGAGAACGCTTCAATCATAAGTACCTGTACAAGCTAAGATTATATTACTTCTTGCAGAGGTTAGTTCCAAATTTTTTGGACATATTGCTTAAGTTCATTAATTTAAATAGAGCTTATAAATTCTATTCTAAATTTTATCCCATTTAATATATGTGAAATAAAGCTCTATATAATGAATGTGCGTAGCTCTAATCAGTGAGATATTCTGAAGAAGTTGGAATTTTTGAATAGGATGTAGTAGAAAATTGATAAAAGCAATTACAGTAATTAAATAACAATTATCTGTTCTGCAGTAGGTTCCAGCGCTCTAGCATCTTGAATATCTTAAAAGTGTTCGCCTTGATTATTTGGAGTTGTAAAGAATTGACTAGTAGGAGATTGGAGTAATATAATCTTGAGATTGTTATTAGGTAATTCTTTGTTGTTGTATGTAGAGCAATTATTATCAGTTTGTTGAAGCATATAATTTTAACCTGTTTGTACCAGTATCCCATGAAGTTGCAAAAGATAGTTTTGATTACTGGTGGGGTTTGTGAAGGTAAACTCTAGGTTTTTGTAAACTGACAAAGACATTTCTTTCTTCTTCTCTCTTTCTGTCTTCAAAGATGGCCTGGCCTGCACACGAATATGTTATTAACTCAAAATAAACTGGCAAGTGCCTCAGCTGTGCAGAGGAGAGGAAAAGTGGAAAATACACAAATGAATTCAAGAGGCAAAAAGGACATAACCAATGGTAAAAAATTAGGTATCCAGGGAGCAACATTCTGTGTTTCTATGAATCCATAGGACATGGAAAACCTAAATGCCATTTCTATGGATCCATAGGAATGTATCCAGTTCAGATTGTTACTTGAAAAAAAAAGTAGAAAACTATTAGTTTGGTTGGCTACCGAAACTGTTAAATTGTTCATTTGCTTATGTTTTATGTTTGAGTTGGTTCAAAATGAGAAAAGCAGACAACTTGATCTCAATTTGCCTGAATGCATATGCTTATAAGTTTGGTTTTGATGATTTAGATTTGTTATTAAACTTTGGCTTCTTCATTTGTGTGAACTTGTTTCTTTCTCCTGAAAACTTTGTGCTTTATGTATTGCTCATGGACTATACCCATTCTTATAATGGTAACCAACCTTTGAAGGGTAATGACTTTATTTATTCTCTTTTGTAGGTAGAGCAACTGAAGAAAGGGAAGATGAAGATAGTGAAGATCTAGACCTTACTTAAGAAGAACTTTGAATTGTTGTCGATATTCTAGGAGTCTTTTGTTAACAACATTTGAAACTTTAACTTTTGAAATGATTGGGTTAAAACATTTTGCTATTATGGTTCTTATTAGCTTATTGGACATGAAAGTTTATGAAGTGTTTATCATTTTATTTATATATATAATTTCCAGGTTATTACAAATATTTATATATGTAAATGTTATTTATAACCAGGGCAATAATGTTAATTAAACTGTTACAATAGCCTAATAAAACCGTTGCGATAAGCACGAATGTTGTTGCCATAGACAATCTAAATTGTTCCAATAGGTCTTGCAAACCGTTCCAAAAAGTGCGACAAACCGATGCAATTGGCAATTCAAACCGATGCAACAGAAATAAAACCGTTACGGTAGCGTAATGAAACCGTTAGAATATCTGTAAATAAATGTTGCAATAGCTTACATAACCGTTGCAATAAATTATATGGTAACAGTTTCCAATCGTTGTAGTAAATAATATGGTAACAGTTTACAACCGTTGCATTAAACTCTATGATAACGATTTTAAACCGTTGCAGTTGAAATGAATACTCGTTACTTCAGACAGAGGGAAAACCGTTGCGATAGCTGGCCCTATAGCAATGGTGTGGTCAACCGTCGCAAGAACCGTTGCTCTAGATCTATTGGCACGCGAGCGGATGTAACGGTCGCTAAACCGCTCCAATATATCTATAGCAACGGTTTACCGATCACTTGCAACTGTTTTCCCGCCGTTGCCATAAACCCATTTTCCAGTAGTGAGTACATAATTTCCCGTGGTGTACCCCGGCTATGATGAGGTGGTGGAGGCACCAAAGGGATTGTTGGACATTACGTCCTTGTTGGAGTCTACGTCAAAGCTAAGCCAGTCTGCGAGGAATGAGAGGGACGAAAACCTCAACAGGTATCTTTATAGTTCCCTCAATATGTTAATGAGCAAGCTAGGTGTGACGGATGAAGAGCGTATGCACCTACGCAATGATCTCTCTGTTTCTCCAAAGGAGATATTGGGGATTGCGTCTCGAAGTCCCATTCACATGTCTGAGGATGAGAAGACCCACAAAGGCTCGGATGATGAGGAAGAGATTGGTGATGAAGTCACAAGGCCCATGGATTTGGTGTGAAAGTACAAGAGGGGGGGTGAATTGCTTATTTTTAATAACTTTTACAAGTAGTTGACTAGTTTACCAATTAGTCGACCTAAAATAAGAACAAGATAATAATAGAAATAAAATGCAGGAAATAAAGACACCAGAATTTTTATATTGGTTCGGATTCAATGTGAATCCTAGTCCAGCCCCCTTGGGTTGCAAGGGAGTTCTCTTTCAGTGATCGATGTTTCGTGAGTGCAGAATGAATGGCGTAGCTTTACACCAATAGTTTAGTCTCTATATCTCTCTCCTTTTCTTGATACAATATCTCACCAGTGTTTATCTCTTTTTCTTCTCTCACTAGTTACACAACAGATCTAATGAAACTACATTGCTTGTTTGGAGTAGAACAAAAAAAAGGGTAGATGGTTCAATCAACGTATATGATGTTACGTCAGAAGAATCTGTATTCATATGGTAAAAAGCACTTCATGGAACATTATAATAAACTGTGAAAGACAAAGGCTTATATTTGCATCTCCAGCAACTTATTAGACTTGAAACCTGCAATGTTCAAAAATGAAATAAGAATTAGAGTTAAAATGGTTAGATTATAAAACATCGATAATCAAAAAAATCTGCATAGACATCAAGTTGAATACCTGGACACACTAATGTCTTTTCTTGTGTTTTTTCATTCTCGTAACGATTATGTGTTCCAATTCTACAACCATCCTGGAAAACCATAATGGATTTTGAGTTGACAACATTATGTATATTGTGAATAGTCCAATAACTAGTCCACAACCATAACCCATGAGAACCGCCTGCCAACTGATTATTGATGAATCTTTTTCTTCTCCTTGATCTAGAACAATTGGAGTTGTCACTTGTGTTACTTCGTCTTCACCACAACCTCTTGAGAGTGGAGATCCACGTAACCCATCATTCCCTTGGTATGAACTATTCTCAAAAGTATCAAATTGATTTCCTTCAGGGATGTATCCAACGAGATGATTGTGTGAGAGATTTAAGACTGCAAGTGATGTGAGGGATGCAAATTGTTGTGGAATTCCTCCACCAATTTTGTTAAATGAGAGATCCAATGATTCAAGTACAAACAAATATTTTGATGATGCTGGTATAAGACCTTCTAAGCCATTGTGAGATAAGTTCAACGTACGAAGTCCGATGAGATCTCCAATAGTACTTGGAATTTGACCTTTAAATCCATTCTTTGAGAGATCAATAACTATGTTTGTAGTCAAAAATTTAAGAAATACAAGATCCAATCCCTTTGTTGTAATTGTCATAGAATAATATATATATCTCCTACATACCTTGGTGTACTCATGTTCTCATCATTTATTTTCATGGCTTGAGAAAATTCTCAAAAAGATTTGCTGGTAAATTCCCACCAAATCCATTGGATGAGAGATCCATAATTTGAAGTTGTGAAAACAAGTTTCTATTCCTTGAAGTTTTGATGGACCCATGCAACTTGTTTGATCTCAAATTTTAAATCTTCAAATTCGGTAAGATTTCCAACCATTTTGGAAAAGTGTCGTTCAGCTCATTATTACCTAAATTAAGTAGTTCCAAGTACTTGCAATTGATCAAAGATCGTGGGATTTTTCCCTCTAACTTATTCCCATGCAATTTAATGACACTGAGAAAGTTTCCAGTACTAAAATTTGCTTGAATTGTCCCACTAAGATTATTATTGCTTAAATCCAAAACATAAGTACTATCCATCTGACCCAAACATTCTGGGATTGTTCCCTGTAAATTATTACTTCCCAGATCTAGCACGTCTGTTTTAAGATTGCAGATGGTTGAAGCAATCTGTCCACTAAGATTATTTTGAGAAAGGAGAATTTTTTTTAGGTTCTGCTGGTTTAGGAGTGACTTTGGAATAGGACCTTGCAGCTGATTTTGTGTTAGATCAACGTACTCCAATGTTTTGGACTTGAACTCTTCCATTTTGCCACTGAAATGGTTATTGCTCAAGACTAACGAATTTAGTGATGAGATGGAGAATACATTGGAAGGAATTGGACCAGTTAGGTAATTGGACCAAATATCTAGGTCCCTAAGTTGTGTCCCATTCAAGCACTCAAGTCCACCGTCGAAGCTATTATTTCTAAGCGATAAGCTCTCGAGATAGTGGTGCAGTTGCAAACTCGAAGGAACCAAGAAGCCATAGAAGGAGTAAGCATATTGAGCGTAAATATTACTTAATTCAGGACATAACTCAGAGAGGTGATGCAAGAGTGTTGAAGATTGCGTCGGAGGACAATTTGGCAGACCCGTTTACAAAGAGCTTGACACAGAAGATTTTTGACAAGCATGTAGAAGGAATGGGTGTTAGAGTAGTAGACGCATGGTTATGAATCTAAGTGGGAGATTGTTGGGATATACTATTAACCATGCGGTTTAGACATAGTATTATATTTTATTCTTTATGGAACAATTGTTTATTTAATTTATTCAATTCAATAAAGTACTATTTCAAATAGATCATTTGTTACATGTGTGTCTTTTTAGTTATGTAGTAGACAATTTAGTGTATGGAGTCTTAGCTCATGCACAGAAGATTAAATTGTTGGTTCTCATAATTAATAAACTATGTTCACAATCAAAGAATTGTTGGACAAAATATCTTGATGATTGTAGCACAAGATTGTTGTATAATTTGTCTTGATTATGGGAGTAATTTTACTCCAACTTCTTGTGCTAGTATACTCAGTGTATATTGAACGGACCAAGTAAAGAAAAGATGTTTTTGTACTGAATATATAAAATATTTTCTCTAATTCATTAAATGAGCTTATACTCCTAATCTTGATATAATTATTATGATCAATGTAATTTATTTATTGTTTTGATTTATCAAAAGGTACGACTCTATTTAGAGTTAGTATATGCCTAATAGATTGGACAATAACGAATAACATTTGTGAATAATAATTAGTTGATAGAATCCATGACTCGGTTTTGGGTTTGATGATACCCCTTTATGTAAGCTTATAAGTTTTCAGGTGAAAATCCGGCTGGTGGATTTTGTATCTGTCACATGAAATAGTTTAAGCGGAATTATAAAGGATTTAATTAGTTAATTGAATTAAATTTTCAGTGATTTAATTTAATTAACTGGTATTTGAAATCTTAACATGGGGAGTTAAAATAAGTGTTAATGAATTTTCGAAATTCATATTGAGGAGTTCAATTGCAGTTTTTTAGTGGAATAAATTGCAATTAATTATAGTAAGAATTAACTCATGCTAATTTCGAATTAATACTATAATTAGTAGCCTCTTATTATTTATGTGGTCCATGCTATACCTAGTAAAAACCTGGACAGACTTGGGTAAAAAGTAGCTTGGGAGAAAAGTTATCCTTTTGAGTTAGAGTAGGATCCTACACGTTTTTTGAGCCATATTGTAGCTTAATTTCGGGTTTATTAAAGGAAGACTAGTTTCACCTAATTACTTACCTTTTTAGTTGTATTGTTCTTGCCCACCCAATAGAAAAATCGTCCAAGATTTTACTAGGCAAATAGCAGAAGACTGCAGCCTTGGATTCTTGCTGTTTGGAAGGTTTGTGCAACTACTTCAAGAGGTCAGTGCTTCTAATCTCGTTATTATTATGTTATCTAGTTTACATGTATTTGATGCCTGGATTGTATGCTTGCTTCCGCTGCACATATTCTAACAATTGGTATCAGAGCGCCATCTTACATCTAACTAGATAATGTAATACAACATGCATAGAGTAATATTAAAACGTGTTATTTATTGATACATGTTTGAGATGATTATTCTATGTTAAAAACGTGATTGTATTTATTAGTATCTTAATTCTGTAATTCTGAAATTATGAATTAATATACACATGTATAAACAGTGGTGTTATATTTAAATAACAATCTGTTCAAGTTACGTTTTTTGCTACTGAATAGCAATTTTTTTATATAAAAACGTGACTGAGTTTTTTGAATGCTATTAATGCTGTAATTATGGGTTAATATACATATGCATAAATAGTGAACTAATACCATTAATCTATTTTAGTTGCGTTCTGTCCATAATCACAGTGTTATATTAATAAAAACTTTATTGTTTTGTATGATATTAGTTCTGTAATTTTGGATTAATATACAGAATTATGAACAGTACCGTTTTTGACTAGTGAAAACATACTGTTTTTTACTATTCTATTTAAACACGTTTTTATTAAATAAAAAAATTATTTTGAGTTCTGAAATCATGTATTAACAAAATATCTGTATATTATGTGATTTTAACAAGTCAAAATAATTAAAAACCCTTAAAACGTCAAAAACAGAATTCTAGTCACGCGTAGAATTCTGAAATTTTGTCGAACTTCGATTGACCTCAAATTTGGTAGGTTCATCGGAAATGGCCCAACTTAAAGAACACATCAGCTTTGCTGATGATATACGTCGTTATTTGGGCATTCGGGGTCGTTTAGATGGAGTTTTGGCCTTTTTTCTATTTTCTGGAAATTTTTTAATAAAAAAAATTATTAATAGAAATCTGTGATGGTAGGGTTCAATTCCCATTGTTTCCAATCATGTTTTACAGTAATATAATGAATTTATATGTTGATATAGGTCTTCTTCCACATCGGATGAATTCAGTATAGATAATTATTGTAGTTTTGCCTCTAGTTATTTCATTACTTGTATTAACTCTCCAACTGAGTTACATGTTGATTGAATGAAACTAGAGTTTATAAAAGTGATATTTATCTATCTTAAATTAAAAGTTTACTCTTCATCTGAGTTGGTCCTATTTAAATTTATGGGGTTAATATCTTACATCACTCATATATTTTGCATGAATAGTTAAGTTTCCCTAACGAATCTAACTGTTCAATGAGCATGGTTATATGTGTAATGTGTTGTTTTGAATTTAATCATTCTAAATACATATCTAATGATCTATTTAATTGAATATCTCTCAGATTAACCATGTCTTCATTCAACCCACTTACCTCAATTTTGAACCAAAACAAGTTAGAAGGACCGAATTATGTTGACTGGAAAAGGAACCTTGATTTTGTCCTAACTGCTGAAAGTTACAAATTTGTAATCACTGAGGAGTGCCCAGAAAAACCTGAAAATACTACTGATGATCGGGTTAAAGCCTATGACAAATGGGTTAAGGCTGATGAGATGGCGCGATGTTACATTCTTGCCTCTATGGCGAATGTTTTGCAACATCAACATCAGTCTATGGGGTCTGCTTATGATATGCTCGAAAGTCTCAAAGAGATGTTCGGTGAGCAAAATCGTACAGCTAAGCAGACAGCCATGAAAGCCCTTTTGAACACCAAGATGGCTGAAGGATCATCGGTCAGAGACCATGTTCTGAAGATAATGAGTCTTCTGAATGAACTGGAGGTCCTTGGAGCTGTGATTGATAAGGAGTCTCAAGTTGAGATGGTCCTTTAGACTCTGCCTGATAGTTTTCAATAGTTTCGCTTGAACTATAATATGAACAAAATGGATCTATCACTAGCAAAATTATTGAATGAGCTGCAAGCGGCAGAATCAATTATCAAACAACAAGCTCCAGTTATGGCACTCAATGTTGAGAAAGCTTCAGTTTCTAAGTCGAAAGGCAATAAGAAAAAGAAGAAGGCTCAAAAGGTTTTGGCGCCTGGTGGTGCGGTTGGTGTGAAAAAGCCTAAAGGCAAGTGCTATCATTGCAAGTAACCTGGGCATCACAAGAGGCAATGCCCTGCCTATCTGGCAAAGTTGAATAAGCAAGGTAATTCAAATTTAAAGGTCGTTAAAACTTGTTTAGCGGCTATTTCTACCATGTTTTGGTGTGTAGATTTGGGAGCCACTAATCATATCTGCACTACTTTGCAGGGGTTTCAGGAAACGCGGCGGCTACGTGAGAATGAAGTTTGCGTTTTTCAAGCCAATGGCGAGCCAGCACCAACTTTAGCTTTAGGAAATATTAGAGTTTCGTTTAGTAGTGATAGAGTTTTAGTTTTAAAAGATGTTCTCTATGTACCTTCTATTAGAAGGAATTTGATTTCGGTTTTGAAATAATGGATGCTGGTTATAATGTTTATTTTGCTAATAACTCTGCTGTTATTAAATTTAATAAACGTTTTATCTACATTAATGCTAGAGTACATGACCTTTTTATTCTTGATATATCTCCTCATATGCTACAACAACCAAAAGAACTAAATAACATTAATCTACCACATAAAAGAAAACGTATTTCTGAATTGAGTCAAACTTATTTATGGCACTTAAGTCTAGGCCATATAAATCTAAATAGGATTTCGAGATTGGTCTCAGATGGACCTTTGAGTTCATTGAAAGTGGAGTCACTACCAACATGCAAATCCTGTTTAGAAGGCAAAATGACCAAGAGACATTTCCCCTCAAAAGGAAATAGGGCCAGTGATAAGCTAGAATTAATTCACTCTGATTTGTGTGGTCCTATGAATATACAAGCAAGAGGTGGTTTTGAGTATTTTGTGACTTTCATAGATGATTACTCAAAATATGTATATATTTATCTGTTGCGACGTAAGTCTGAATGTTTGAGAAATTCAAAGAATTTAAGATGGAAACGGAGAAACGACATGATAAATATATCAAAACATTGCGATCTGATCGAGGTGGTGAAACCTTTCTGCGAAATTCATAAAATACTTATCAGATAATGGAATTACATCTCAATTATCTGCCCCAGGATCACCACAACAAAATGGTGTGGCAGAAAGAAAAAATAGGACCCTTATGGAAATGGTTAGATCAATGTTAAGTTATTCCGATTTGCCTTCTTCCTT